ATCGATTGTGATACATTAACTAAGAAATTCATTATTAGTGGAAGTAATCGTGTAATTTCATCTAAGAACAATCGATCAACCAATTACGGAATTTCAAGTGTTGACTGAAATCACACGATGAAATCTAATGATAATCAATAGTATCATCGATTTCATAATTTAATCCATTTAAGTGATTAGTCCTCAGGTAAAATCATAAAACCAAAGATCACAATATACAGACGAAACAAGAAGAAAAACATCACTGCCTCTGATACAAGATGGTTTTCATAGGAGAGTCAACAGGAAAGATACGACAAAATGGCAATATGACAACCAGAGTGGCAGAATGACCACCAGAATGATGGCAACACTATGACAAGCAGACTAACAATATGGAAATCAGAATGACAATTTCACCATAATGAAAACATGGCCACCATAATGATATGACAACCAGAATGATTATATGGTAACCTAGATAACAATATGACAACCAGATTGACAATATGGCAACCAGAATGACAAAATGGCAGCCAGAATATGACGACCATGAAGAAATTCAACAAACAGAATGGCAACATGATAAACAAATTGATAATGTGGCAACCAGAATGGCAATATGGCAACCCTTATGAAAAAATGACAACCACAGTTATCACAACAATATGACAATCTAAATTATAATATGGCAATCATAATGACAATTTGGCAACCAAAGGAGAATATGATAATCAGAAAGACAATATAACAATTAGAATGACAATATGACAAACTGAATGAAATATGATAACCATAATGACTGTGGTAGGTTCTTTTAATGTTTGCCACTTTTTAGATCCTTCATCACTTCATTTGGCAGTATTAGAGGTGGGTAAATAAACAATTATTCATAATCAGCAATATATTTACACTTTTGCATAATAAACATAAATCAGTTTTCTATAGAAGTCACTCCCTTGTTGCAAATCCAAGGAAAACGGCAAGTCGTCCTGTTAGGAGCGGAGTGGGGCGTTACTACGGCTACTCCTGTTTCGTTCATTCCCTTATTAGAGCTGCTTCACCAGACTTTGTTATTATATTAAAACTGAAAAAGAGATAAGTGGATTGCAAACTGAACAATTATAATATATTCGAAGAATTCCATAACTGATAGTAAGTCCCCGGTGACAATATATAAAGACTCACGAGAATGCAGGTGAGCACCGTGCTCTCTGACAGGTGTGGGTGAAAAGACGCGCTCTCTCCGTCATCGCCTTTGTCATACCTCAGGCGTTCGTGTAAGACAAAGGGAGATGCTTACAAAAACCCATATGAAACTTAAATAACCTTTTTTTATATATATAAATATATCTACGTAATCCAACAGGTTACGTAAAATTAATGATTTGAATGAACATTAGACCAATCCATGTACAATGACAATATGGCAACCGTAGTGACAATATGACAACCGGGATGTCGGAGACAAGGGACTGTCAAGACCCACCGAGCACATCCTCGAAGTCGTCCTCCTCCGCCTCGCACCGCTCCCGGCGAGAGAAAGGCATCTGGGCGACTGGCGGAGCACGGAGGCGTTTCAGGGAAGGAGACGGGAAGGGACAGTCGGAGTATGGCTGATTTTCAAGGGAAAATAAAAACGTTGGAATATTAAGGAATTTTTGAGAGAAAGAGAAAAATAATTGTACATCTGCAACTCTCTCTTTCTCTCTCCCCTTTCCTCCCTCTCCCTCTTTCCTTCTCACTTTCTCTTTCGCCCTACCTTTCTTTTTCTTTCTCTCTCTTCTCTTCTCTTTCTCCCTCCCTTTATCTTTCTCTCCATCTTTCCCTTTTCTGTCTCTCTCTCCCTTTCTCTTTCCCTTTCTTTCTCCCTCCTTTCCCCTCTTTCTCTTCCTTTCTAGGTCTCTCTCTCTCTCTCTGTCTCCTGTGTAGAAATTCTTTCTTTCTATCTTTTTTTCTCTCTTTCCTCTTTCTCACTCTCCTTTTTTTCATTAATTCTCTCTCTCTTTCTATCTTTCTTTTTTTCTCTATTTTTTTCACTTGCTTCCTCTCTCTTTCTCTCATTCCTTCTTTTTTTCTCTCTTTCCATTTTAAATTCGTTCTCTCTCTCTTTAACTTTTTCCCTCTTTCTTTCTGTAATTTAATTTTAGATTCGCCGTCTCTTTGTTCCTCTCTCTCTCCTTTCATCCATATTCTCTCTCCTCCCCCCTTCTCACCTGCTGCGCTGAAACCCCCTGAGGCGTCGGCTGCGAACCCATCACCAGGCTTCCTTCGCCTCCCCTTTCCTCGCGCGGCTTTCTTCTCTCCTCTCTTCACTCTGAGGAACAGGGAGGATTGTATTCTCTTTTCTCTCTATGTATATCTCATTCTCTTTCTCTGTAAATCACTCTCTCTCCTTCTCTTTCTCTTTAAATTTCTCTCTCTCTCTCCTTCTCTTTCTCTTTAAATTTCTCTCTCTCTCTCCTTCTCTTTCTCTTTAAATTTCTCTCTCTCTCCTTCTCTTTCTCTTTAAATTTCTCTCTCTCTCTCTCTCCTTCTCTTTCTTTCTCCTCTCTTCCTCCCTACTCTCTTTCTCTCTCCTCTCTTCCTCCCTCTTCTCTTTCTCTCTCTTCTCTCTATCTCCTCTCTCCTTCCCCATAATAACAACATAAATAATAATAATGAGAGCAATGATAATAGGTGATATTGATGGTAATGATATCCTATAATGATGATAATGATTAATATGGAAAAAGCAATAAGAATAGTGATAATGATAATAAAAATAAAGATAATGATAAATAATGATACTGATATTAATAATGATGATGATAGTGATAGTGTAATGATAACAATAACAATTAAAAAGAGGACATAAGCAAGAATAAAGAATATTCATAGAAATGATAATAATAGCAATAACGATAACATCAATGATGTTAATAATAATGATAATAATAAAACAATAGAAGTGGGAATGATAACCATACTATCGATAATATTACCAATACTAATATAAATAATCATGATAAAGATGGGAAAGATATTAAGAATAATTATGAAAAAATTAATGCCAAAATCACGGACCCTAACGTTAATATTAGAAAATAATTATAATAATAGTAACAATAACTGACGTGATACATATATACACACATGTACAAACACATACACACACACACACACGCGCGCGCGCGCGCACGCACACACACGCACAAGCAAACACACACACACACACGCGCGCACACACACACACGCACGCACACACACGCGCACACACGCACGCAGGTACACCCACACGCACGCACGAGCACGTACACACACACACGCGCGCGCGCACGCACATACACACACGTACACACACACACACTCACACGTACGCACACGCACACACACACGCGCGCACACATACGCACACACATACACACACGCGCACAAATACACACACGCACATACACATACACGCGTGCACACACAAACACCCACACACACGCACGCACATACACACACACGCGTGCACACACATACGCACAGCCGTAAACTTCGCATTCAGAAAACGAGCGAAATAAATTAAATTAAATTTCGTTGAATTGAGTGAGATCAAAGAAGAGTAGAAAATGGGTGAATATAAATAAGTAAATAACAAAGAATTAGACATAAGAGATTGATACAAATGTAAAAAAGAACAATGAATAATAGAAAGAAACGGATAAATAAAACAAAACGAATAGATGAATAAAAATGAATAACTGAAAAAAATAACATAAACGAGTCGATATCGAAAGCAATGAATAAATGCAATAAAAAAATTAAAATAACATAATATAACCTGACATAAATTAAGATAAAAAACAGTGAATAACAAAAGCGAATAGACAACCAAAGCGAATCAACGACCAGAAACAAACGCGGGGCTTCGGCCATTCTCTCTCGCCCTCGCCGGTCGCTCCTTGCCTCGGGAGGTCGCTTTTCTCTCGGACTATTCTGGTGCCGTTGCTTTCGCCTGCAAATGTCTGTCAGAGTATTAGTGTTGCGCAACTCTCTTGCGAGCGGCTTGCGGAGGAGACGCCGCAGATGGGAAGCGCCCTAGTTCCGGTCATTCTGTCCGTGGCAGTCTCTTACCTTGCACTGTTGGCGGCGGGAAACTGGAACTCAATAATCGTTCGTTCTCCTTTTCTCGCGAATAATTAGCGGCAAACGTACGTTCTGGGGAGGGTTGTTGGCCTTAGCCGCAGCGCCAGGGCTAGAGTATCAGGTTTCAATAAGCCTGTTTTTTTTTTTTTTTTTTTTTTTTTTTTTTTTTATTCCTTGTTTTCCGTCGCATTTGACGGCGTAACTTGTATACCCCGACGGGAAAGCCGACAAAATGTGTAACCGTCGGCTGCGCGCTGCATTTTCAGGAAGTGAGCATGATTTACACACAACAAAATAGAAAAACACACAAACACTGAACTAGCCTTAAAACGTGTTTGTTGAAACTCTACGGGGAGGTGAATCACATTTCACTTACAATTCTGTTCAATGTGGTATTACTTTTTGCCTCAATGGCGTACGGTACAGTGTATTAAACCACTTGAATTAAAAAGCACTTTTAAATATGAAAATGCGTTTAGTAAGATTCCTGATGACCCTGTCAAATTCATGCATAAAGCTTCATCAACTGCTCCTCAAACTGTACCAGTCTTCAAAAAGCAGCCTTTCAACACATTAGTAACAGAGTTTGCAAACCTTAGCGATGAGGATCTTCAAATATGGAAACGGTTCAATATCTATACCTGCTATAAAACTTAAGATGGATTGCATTTGAACTCGCCTGAGCGCCAAAATCTTCGGAGGCTGTGGCGGTTGGCGACTGCGCGCAGCTTAAAATAATTATTCGTCCTGCGTATCTGCGGATGTTTTTAACCCGTGACGCCACACCGAATCCGTCAGCTGTGGTCGTTGGCAATAGACGGCAGTCATTTTCAGCAAGACTGCGTGAATTGTACTATTAAAAGTAAGGGATTTTTATTACATTGATTTGCTTAATATGCGATGTTCACTTCGTGCAATATAGATATAGGTTCTCGTTATACGCTAATTAGGTGGTCCTAACCTTATATCGCCGCGCCTCCGTCATTACGCCTCGCCGTCAAGCGTCCTCGACGTGGCGTTTCGAGCGCTAGATGTGTCTTGCGACTTGTGAAACTTTCGGTCGGCTTTATATATTTTTTTTTCACACGTACACTTACTTTGACGGCGCCCAGACACACACTGAGCCTTTTTTTTAAAGGTGGGGAGGGGCGATGGCACAGCTTTCCGAAAAAAAAAGGTTTGGTCATAAAAACCTGACGTCATTTTCTGAAGCTTCCATTGGCTAGGATTGGTCGGTGTTTGCCAAAGAGGAAAATCCGTTAATTTGCCACCAAGTGCCCATTATATATGGTGTCTATTTCTTAGTTTTTCACACAAGAAGCATTTATTATCGTCGTTTCGGGTGCTCTGTGTTGTGCCTTGTGCGAAGCATTTCAATGCGTTAAAATATTAAATTTATTTACTATGCTTTCGGGAGAGTTTTTCAAGTCGCCGACGAAGGTTGGTAAAGTCTCCCCCCCCCTCCTGGGCCCCTCTCGGTAGATCCGTCTCGTCAAGAGGACCTGAGGCAGGGCAGGTCCTTCTCTGTCCCTCCTGAAGGGGTGCGGGCGAGGCGCCGACCAGAAGGACTGTGCAGGAGCGATTCCTATGTTTGCTTCATGCACAAACAACGCCCGAGATTATATGCTTTTAACTTGCGTCTGTCAGGCGCTTCGCCCTCTCCTTACGGCAGAGTCACAGCTGTCCATATTTCGAGAATGACTATGCGGGTTTATCAGATGGTGAGCACACGCAGGGTCCTTCACTGCGCCGTTTGCACATCATCTGTGGCTACGATGCTCTCGCTTCATTTGCTTGGGTGATGAGCGTGTCTGCCGCGCAAGGCGTGTCACGCACTACCGCCACGATTTCCCGTCTTCTTCAATGTCCTCGAAGGCAATTCACTCGCCTGAGCTCTCTATCGCTTTTCTGATGCCAGTGCCTAATGGATTTTGATGTGTTACCTACGTGTCTAATAGCACTGATGGCTATGGATACTCAAATACAGTTAAAAGCTTTCTCGTAATCCTTCAAAAACAATGATTAACGCACAATATATATTTTCAAAAATAAATTCAATCTTTATCGGGAAACGACGTTTTTATGGCTGGCTGAAAATAATAGTTCGCATCAGTCGCCGCGATTTATTGTGCTCTGCTTTTCGACAGAACACCGCGATGTAACGAAATACAGATTCCTCCTTGAAGCGAACTCTGAAATAACTAATCGGTTGTGGAGCTCGCAGTCGGGTTTCCATTTCCGATTAGTTATCAAATCTGCTTCCACGCCTCTCGCACGCCTGGCGCCGTGTGATTCGTCCGGTTTCATGCACTGGCTTTCGTAACGAGCATGCCGCGCGTTTGATATGGACAGTAAAATGCTTTAAAGGCCCGGCAGAAACTCGCGTAGTAGCGTCCGACATTTAAAATTCCTGCGCAATTGTCCGGGCCCTTCTTGCCCGCAACATGTGCCAGGCATATTGATTTGAGTAAGAAATTTATTAGTTCCTGTAAATACTCGATATTATTGTGGTATCACTCTTGTATTGCCATATCATCTATGTCCTATCCTTTTAGGCCGAAACAAATTCCGTCATAGAAGTTCTTGCGGGCTTCATCTACGTACAGAATTGAAATGTGACAATCAGTGTACAAAGGAAAAAAAACACATTAAAAAACGAAGTGGCAACATTGAGGTGGGGAAGGATATCTGAGGGTGAATTTTAAAATATTAAAGTCGCGTCTCCTAGATTTACTCGCTCTGTCCATGCATATATTATTTTTCTCATAAAAGATGGCTGGTTGTCACTTAACCGTTACCAAAGACAGATCGGGCTAAGAAAGAGGAAGAGAGAAATAGTGATAATTATTTCAGGTTCATTGAAATCTTTTTTTCTCTCTCTCTCCTGATTTATTGACTTTTATCTCCTATCTCCTCCTTCCTTCTCTCTCCCACCTCCTCATTCTCTTTCTCATTCTCCTCTACGTCTGTTCTTCTCTATTCTTAGTCCTCCATTCGCTCCCCTTCTCCTCTCTCTCTCCTCCTCCTTCTTCATCCAGATTTGCTCTTTATTCCCTCCTTTATTCTCCGTTTCTTCTTCTTTCAATCCTTTCGTTTCATCCACTTTTCACACGAAATTATCCAATTATTTCTTTCCCTTTTCCTCTCCAAAAATACAAACAACGAGACAAGTAGATAAATAAAAATGTAAAAAAAAAAAAATAGTTTTCTTTAGCCTTTTCTCCCTCTTTCCTCTCCTTCTTTTACCAGGGTCTCTCTCTCTCTCCCTCTCCGGCGATAATTAGAGAAAGGCGAATAGGAAGAACGAGCGAAAAGGGACACGACGACCGAGAAAAAAAGAAATGAACTCGAATAGGAAGAATGTACACGAAAAAGGGACACAAAGGGACACGAGAAAAAAAGAAATGAACTCGATTTTCTAAGAAGCTTTTCGAGGCGAACACCGCGCCGCCATCTTGGATTCGGCGAGGCAGGGCTGATAAACGGAGGAGCTGG